GTCATTTCACATTTATGCACTAATTTGTGTGTCCATGCATTGATAAAGAAAATTACTTAGATGGCACATGAATATTAAAAAACCCCTGATTAGTCTTGGTGAATACATTGCTCTGAACAGTATCTTCTCCTGAATGTATTGTTACAACTCTGTATATTACCAATGCAAACCAAACTCTGTGTCTGGTCATTGCCCAGCTTCCCATCTACAGTAAAAAGGAAAATATGCAATTATCACACAATCCTAAATTCAGCAACTGAACATCTTAGCAGATTCCTGAAGGCATTAATTCTCTCCATGAATGATAACAGACCTCTTCTAAAAGACCACTCAGGATTAGGACAGAGCATTCACACCTCTACCACTCCAGAACAAAAAAGAAAAAAAGGGGGCTTGAAGCAACAGATGACAGCAGCTGGGAAAGGATTTTAGAGGGCTTTATGTTATGATAATTTAATTTCTCATGTCTGCATTTGTTCCTGAAAATTTTGATGAACAGAAATGAAACTTATGCTACTGATGCCATCTGAATGACTCTTTAAAGGTAATGACAACATGTGTTGCCAACTTGAGATATCAAATCTAACACAAGGACAGAGTTTAAATTAAAATTGTGACGTTAATTGCAATAGAAAGGCACATGAAATGTTTACATGAATAATCTGCTGCTTAAAACTGAGTAGGCTGTAATTTGTTAGCAGGGATGGAGGAACACTATTCTAAAGGGAGTTAAAAAAAATAATTAATTTCCTCCTTAAGCATCCTTTTAACATCCCTGATTTACTGCAACCTGTGAGCCTCTAACTAGCTCTGCATACTTCTGTATTAACCATTAGGATGAGTCTTCCCAGCTATTTTAGCACTGATACAGATTTTAATTTGTATTTATTAGGAAAAACTCAATGAAAAATAAACCAGCACATTTACTGGCAACTATAGAAAAATATTATCTGATATTGCTCTGTACCACGTAGTTAAACTCTGTGGAGTTTAATTTTAACACTGCCTTGCAATCATTGCTCCGGACAGCACATTAGCAAAAAATACCAAACTTTACCTGAAGCCATTCAGCAGCAAAACTTTTGGAACACCTTTCATAAAATAACCTGAATGCACATTTGAGCACCTGTAAATTCTGGTTGAAACTAAATCAAGCTGCCCACGTTTAAACTACAATTACAGTCCCATGAGACAAACCAAAATGTAAAATAACGACAAAACTGTGAGCTGACCACAGGACTATCAGCCAAAATCTGTAACTGTTCGTGCCCTATTTTAAACAAAACTGAAAGCAGAGCTGTTGACCAAGGACATAGTTTGATATTACAGCTAACTTGATCCACTGTTGACTGCTACTGGAAGCAAGTCCCGCTTTGCCTTCCCTTGCTGCAGGTTCCCATCTATTTCTTTGTAGGAACAGCCGTGTTTTTTCACCTAAACTGTGAGATGCTTCAGGAACCTCTGCCCGCAAAAAGTTTGGGTTTGGGGGTTTAGAGGAGAGGGACGGGGGACTGGTTAGTTTTTTGTAGTGAAAGTCTTTCAGTTAGTAACTCAAGAGGAAGTGCCAAGGTAAGGAAAGCAGCAGAACTGGGGCTGCCTCTACTTATCCAGCTATACTGGCAACCTGCACCTTTATCTCTCCCCAGACCCACTCACAGAACACAACTTTTGAACAGGTATGCTGTGCATTTTACCTTTTGGACTCCGTTGTCTTGGGTCCTTTATTCTCCAACCAACTGGTAATTGTCTGCTGTTTGCAAACTGAAAAACCACAGTTCACTGGTTACTACATGGAACACGATAAAACTGCAACATCACTGCATAATAATAAGGTAACTTGTACTGGATGAGGATAAAACACCTCAATTAAATCCTCATTAGCATCTCTACTGTAGGGAGCATCCAGACACCAGCAGTATTAAATCTGCTGTCGCTTTTGTGATGATCTTTATAAATTTCAGGCTTGGTGTGTGGTGGGTTTGTTTTTTTTCATCCAACATCATTCTTTTAATATCATTAAAAGGTTAAGAATATACAGCGAATGTCTAGGAAAAAAAAAAAAAAGGGGCAATCTGAAGTTTCCAGCCCTCATGATTACCTTTAATCACCACCACACTGAGTCCCAAAACCTTCTGCTGATTTTTGGAACAAAGAGGCAATATGACATAGCTTAAAAGAAACAAAGAATGAACAACTAGACATCTTAGAGGACCCATCCAAGAACCTTATTTGTATGTAGCATACTGGGAAACATAAGGCTTAATATAACCATGGCACACACTAGAAGTGACAAGTGCTCCGAAAAGGACTTCTTCTTTTCCCCTCCATTCACAGTTTGAAAAGCTTTACAATCCTTACTACACAAAAACAGCAACAAAACAAAGGACAGAATTTTTTCAGATTTACTACCAGCAACACAGTTCCAGTCTTATCTGTATATTTTTGCATTTCAGACGAGCTTTCAATCGAACTAATTATGCAGAAACCTGGGTGGGGGATTAGGGAGAAAAAAGTCAAAGCAGTTATTTCACAACTGGAAATATCTTCATTAGCATAATGAGTTTTTAGTTGTGTTTTGTTTGTTTTATTTAATGGTAATTCTGGAAATGTGGCAACTAGCTTCCATTTCCTTGCTTTCCATTTGCCAAGAGAAAGTACCTACCTGCTACTGCTGACTGTGCAAAGTGTTCACTCAATGCTTTCAACTGGATAGGTAACATTTGTAGTGCCCTTATTGTAACAGTAGTTTTGCAGAACTTAAAAACCAGTATAGTAGATCTGGCTCTTCTAATTTAACAGTCACTAGGGGCTTTTTCTGCAAATGGAGGTTGTGTAACTTGCATCAAAAGCAGCTTAGGCCATAGGTAACTTAAGAGACATTGTTTCATAAACACTTTCCCACAGCTGGTTATCAAATACCCTCATCAGAGAATACGAGAATTTCTAGAATGAGTAGGAATCTCCAGAAAATGTTTAAATGGTTTTAAGTTCCTCTATAATGGCACAAATAATAGTGCAAAATTGCCATTATGTGACTGGGTGACGAGGGAGCAATGCCAAGGTATGTGTAGGTTACAAGCACAAGGATACCTGTGCCACAATCAATGTTCCAACAAATGCTCAGCCTCACCACACTCAGACAAAAATGGACAGATTTTATGAACTACGATATTTTTACTTCTAAAGACTCACTAAATTAAAGTCTATTAGTCATTCTGATTACCAAGTTTCACCTTCCTACATCTGAAGTGTTAACCCAAATTAAGGTAAGGGAAAAGCAGCAGCCAGAAAAAAAAAAAAAAACCCAACCTGTCCCATGTTTTCACATGTCTTTTCAAATAAACCTCTTCAAAGGCAGCTGACTAACTCCTGAGGTATAAACTTGTGTTGAGGAAGAAATACTTATTCACAGCACAGTAAAAAGAAATTATGGCAGCAGCATCACAACCAAATGACTTTGGTCTGAACTTTAACAACTGAGTAACCACGTAAGTCCTACAGCCAACGTAACACACATCACTTTCAGACTGCCAGCATCGCTTTTTGCTGCAGAAAGGGTGGTGAAAACAACAGGCAACAAAAAGACAACACAAACTTACTTTCAGGGTAAACAACAGAACCAGACTTTGCTGTAATTTTTAAAGTGGTGTCTAAATTTCTACTCAAGATTCCCCAGATCATTTCCATAAAAGAAACCACTCCCCACAGTCTACCTCTGAGAAAAACAACTTACTTTCCAACTCCGTAGGAGTGCACACCTACAATTACGAACTATTATCTGCTCAAAGTTGCCTCTTACCTGCTGATCACTGGGGTTTAACTCATCAGCTGCAGACAACAGCAAATCTGTTTGGGATCTTTTTCCCCTTCCCTCCATTCCTCTCTATTCCTGGAAGAGGCACTTTGTCGTGCATTAAAATCTTATTCTGACAGCGTTAGCTCCAAGTAAGAAACAAAACTAAGGAAGCCACGTGGGAACTTTTCCGGGCAGCTCTGCGAGGCGGCAGGAGGAGCAGCCACCCCTGCCCGCCCCACGGGGCCAGCAGCGCTCCGGGCCGGCAGCCACAGCCCATGTGGGCTCCTGTCATTGCTCTCGGCTTTCCCTGTGACAGCCCGGCACAATCCCCGCCCAAAGCCATTTTTCCTGCAGCAAGTATTCGCCTTCTCTCCTACAGAACACGCTCCCTTTGGCGGCTCGCACCTCTCTGGGATGGTTTCCGCTGTCAGTGCAAGTTCGCAAAGAGTCAGGCACAAAACCAAGCTAAAGATCCCAGCGCCGTCTCCAAGGGGGAGCAGCACGCACTGACCAACGGGCTCGGCTCCACGGGACACGCCGGGAACCGGAGCGGGAAATAATTCCAGCCCAAAGGAAGGAGAGCTCCAGGGAAGCTCCGCGCAGAGACACAGGCGGCCTCGCCGCCGAGGGATGCCCGGGGCAGCAGAGGCTCGCAGGGCTGCCCCGGGCGGCACAGGGGGACCCCCCGGCCCGTCCCCGCCCGGCCACACGGAGCGGCACAAAGGGCGGGGGCCACTCGGATCCCGGGGAGCCCCGTCCCGCCGACCCGGGCCCGCACAAACCAACCTTTGTTCCCCACGGCGGTGGCGGGGCTGCCCGCGGGCCCGTCCTGCCGCTGTCCCTGGGCGCCGCCGGGGCTGCCGGGGCCGAGCCGGGCTCTCTTGAGCGGCGGTTCCCGCCCGCAGCCCGCGCTCATCCTCGGCGGGGCCGCCCTGCCCGCCGGGACCGGCCGGCACCCGCCCCCCGGGGACGGCGCGTCGCTGCGGCAGCGGCTCGGCCCGTCCGCATCCTCCGCCCCGCACGCCTGGCCGTTCCCGAGGCGCGGCGGGAGCGGCAACGGGAGCGGGTTCGGGAACCAGCCGCGTCCGGGGAGCGCGGCTCGCGGCAAGATGGCGGCGGGCGCGCCTCACCCCGTCGCCATGGCGACCCGCAAAGCAGCGCGGCCCGGCGGCGCTTTGCGGCGCTTTGCGGCGTTGCCGGGCGGCAGCGGGCGGTGAGGGCGGCGGGGCGGCCGCCATGGAGGGCGGCGGGAACTCCAAGGGCACCGGGCTCGGCGGCCTCTTCGGCGCCGGCGGGCTCGGGTACTCGCACGCCGACCTCGCCGGGGTGCCGCGTGAGTACCGGGGCAGCCGGCGGGGGCGGGGTGGGGCGGAGGGCAGTGTCCACGCACGGGCAGCGCGGCAGGGCCGGGCGGCCGGAGCGAGGCCGGTCTCGGGGATGGAAGGCGGAACAGGGATCGACAGGCCCGCCCGGAGGAAGCCGGTCCCCGGCGGTTCCTGCCCCTGCCGGGACGGGGGCGGAGGGCCAGGCCCCGGTCGTGCCGCGTGTCGCGACAATCGCTGGTCACGCCGCGGCCGCCCCCATCCCGGAGCTCCCGTTCCGCTTCCTGAAAGGCCGGGGCCGCCTTTTAACGAGTTGTGCAACTTCACGGCGGAATCTTCCCTGCTTCCGCGCACGAGGTGTGCCCCCTTCTGCCTCACAGGATGTGGATCATTACTGGGGAAGCTGGTGTTAAACTGCTCTGTTTATTTGGTTTTTTTCCTTTCAGTGACTGGAATGAGCCCTTTGTCACCGTATTTAAACTTGGACCCCAAGTATCTAGTACAGGTGAGACGGAGGCTTGTTTTTATCGTGTAGAACTCGATCCCAGTGTTTGCACAACCACACGTGAACACCCCAAAACTCCTGCAGTGCTGTGCAGGGTGTGCTGAGGTATTGAGTGGTGAACAGTGGAAAGAAACAATTTTTGAGTGTTGTACCTAATAAAAGCTTGCAGTGCCATGACATGTAGAAGACAACCAGTGAAAATACAGAGAATTGGTAAGACTGTTGTGTCAGTACAAACCTGCTGCTGGGGAGGAGAGGAGGTGTCCCTCCCTGCCCTGAGGCTGGCACACCCAAGGCACCCTCATAGCAATCCTGGCATTGGTCACACCCTCCCCTGAGCCCCCTCAACATGTGTAACGTAACAGCAGCCAGAATCTCTCCACTCATCTCATGGATTAGTTTTCTGAAGTGTGAATTTTCTGATCATCATCACAACTGTGAGAATTCTGATGATTCAGGGATTGGTCTCCAGAACTCTGTGAAGCTCTGAACTTTACAGAGGTGTTGGGCCAAACCCCAGACCTGATAACAGGGTTTGTCATCACAGCAGCAGCGAATGTCACACCATTTATGTCATTTCCCAGCTGAAGGGGGACCATCACGAAGTGAAACTTCCCATTTTGTTCTACAGAATAGTGGTTGTCACACACAGCTTAACATTACTTAATATAAAATGATGGCACCATAAGGAAAAAAAAATTATTTGAACTCCAGTAATGTTTTTCTTTTTCAGCAGTATTAACTGTAGCTGAAAATGTTTAAGTTAGTCCAATTAGGATGCATGTCTTAATGATTTTACTTAGTATTTTTCTCTGTATGTGGCTCATATTATCTGAGAACATTAAATTTTGTAGAATTAGCACAGTTGCATAGGATCTGCTATCTGTGTGCCTTATGTTTGATGGTACACTGTTTATTCTGTAGCTGGAAGCTCTGAATGGAGTTCTGGGGGCTGTTTATTATGTTTCTCTTTCCTTAGAAGCTGTTGTAGCCCAGATTACAATGTAACGTTCCCATAATGGCAGAAAACAGGGGATATGCCTCTGTTTGTGTGTTCACTAGTGGGGCCTGCTGTTGTTGAGTGGTCAGAAAAATGCTGAGTGATTATTTAGACCTCTCCCCAAAACACTCTCTGAAGTTGTCTTGCGTCCTTAGTACAGTTTATCTGAGAACGTGGTGGTGTTAAAAGCAGTGTAGCAGAGGCTGTAGAACAAAGCCTGTGTGTATACTAATAGTTTTTAAAAACAGAAGAGAAATTTGCTTTAAACTAAAAGGTGTTGGCATCAGTGTCGTGGTACAGTTCTAAAAATACCTGTTGATGTAACACATAGGCTGCAGTCTGTGTTATAACACTTCCCTACCTTTAAGTTTAGCACTATTGTGTTGAAATAAAAGGAAAGTGCATTGAAATAAAAAGGGAATTCCATTTAAATGTGAGAAAGTTTCGTGGTTTTTACCTGAAGAAGTTGCCCAGATAAGCTGTGGGGTCTCCATCCTTAGAGAAGCACAAGAGCTGGGAGTGACTGAGTGCCCAGCACTACCTGACCCTACTTTTAGCAGTGTGGGTTGCACCAAGCAGTCTCCACAGGTCCCTGGGATTCTAAATATTCAAGGAAAAAGAAATAGCTAATATTTTAGAATACAAGAACTTAAATTATTGGCCTTTAAATTTGGGGTTTCTGTGAAGAAAAGAGAGGTGAGGGTCTCCTGTGTTCAAAGACCATCTCTTTGCTTTCTGAACGCAAAGGAAAAACCTTATTGTTGAGAACCTTACATTTTGATTCTGGCCTTCCCATAATAACAAATGAGACAATGGTACTCATTATTTAAAACCCACTTTCTTGGTTGGTCCATTAATGCAGGCACAGAACAAAGTGTTTCCTGCAATGCTTTGTTGCCTTCAGAGGGTAACATGCATTATAAAATAGCATTTTATAATGCTATGGCAGAAGCCCAGAGGATGGGACTCCTTGGTTGTTGTTATAGAAACTTAAATGTTACACAGAGACAAGGATTGGTTCATCTTGACTTTTGGGGCAGTAGTGAAAACTGTTAGAAGCTGCTAACTAGTGCATGCACTGAATTTCTTCAACAATTTAGTTAGAAGGAAGATAGAAACCATATTACAGGTTCAGTTTATTGATACAATATTCACAGTTTTAGAAGCTGTATATTTTTCCTGTATTGCCATCCACATTTACTGTCAAGTATGGGCCAATAAAAGCCCTTGGAATGCAATTCCTTGAGCTTGCAGTTGTTGCAGTCATGTATCAGTTACAGAGGGGGTGAGTAATACTATGTCTGGAAAGCACAGAAGCATAAAACAGATCTAGCTGCTTTAGCACCTCATCAACACATGCATCCTGCTCATGTCTAATTGAAAACTTTCTTTGGCCCACCTTAATCTCTATACATGTGCTGGTTTCTCCAAAGCTTCTCAGGCCATTCACAAGGACACAAAACAAACCTGTCTCTGTAAGAGGAAGATGCACAAGTAAAAAACTGCTGACCTCACCTGATCATTAATTTTGAGTGTATTCCTTCTTTTTTCACCTCTTCAAAATAGGTCACTTATTTCAGTGCATGGAAACAGTTCTTTTGGCACAAAGGTAGTTTTTCTTTAGTGTCAGAGTAGTGGAAAACCTTAATTAAGGCATTATTGCATCAATATAGGTTGCTCAGTGAGGAAACAGTGCTGCATAATCAGAAAACAGGAAGGTTTTTGGAGGGCTTGTTTTGCCTGCTGGAAGATGTAATAAATAATTAAGCAAATAGTCATTAAAAACAAAAACAACCAGCAACCCACACAGTATGAGTTCCTTGCCTGACTGATGTAATTTCTAAAAATTTAGAGAGCTAGGGGGAAAAAAAGCTCCCAGTTTATCTTTTTAAAGTCCTTTTTCACACTTAATAAAGCATACACATACTGTATTCCCTCTCTCTGCTAGCATAGGCAAGAATTTTCCAGAAACACTCGTATCCATCTTTAGTTCATTGCATGAATTAAAGAAAAAAGATTAATATGGCCTACATTTTGAAGCAGGTATGCTTAGAAAATACAAAAGCATTTGTTTTTGTTTTCCCTCAGGACACAGATGAGTTTATCTTGCCCACAGGAGCCAACAAAACTCGAGGCAGATTTGAGCTGGCCTTTTTTACCATTGGAGGATGTTGTATGACAGGTAGGTGGTTGTGTTTTCCACTTTTCCCAACTGTCCAGGTAACACCTGTGCACTACAGTAATTGATAAGTTTGTCAATGACTTGTTCTGCAAGGCATTCTTTGTTCTAGTCTTAAATGAACAGGTATTTGACTTCTGAAATACACTGAAGTTTACTCTCAGTATTTGTTTCTAGTATTGTTTCAGGGATTTTCTGTTCCTTTTTCTTCTCAAAAAGTAATGACTGATATTGTGCCACCCAGGGGCAGCGTTTGGTGCACTGAATGGTTTGAGACTTGGCTTGAAGGAGACACAGAACATGCCGTGGTCAAAACCTAGAAACGTACAGTAAGTGTTCCATCTCAAAGCAAAGCACACCTTAGTGACAGAGCTCTTTCTTCCACCTTGTACAAGATCAGATATGAATATACTGCAAAAATAAATGCCCTTTTTTTCTTTAGTGGGGACAAACAAGAATCAGTATTTGTGTTCAACAAGTTATCAAATGTTTTCCTTGTGATGATGTTCAGTTCAAGCTTTTTGCTTTTCATTTAGTCACAGTTGGTGTGTCCTCTGACTTACCTTAAATACTTGAGAATAAATTACTGTCTTGATGTTTACTAAAAATCTACTTCAAAGGCAAAGCAGTGTTTTTATATGTTGAAATACTCCCAGAGGCAGCAGAGTTTGCTTTGAGCTATTTTTTGCTGTCATTTTTCTGGGAGTGAGTCTCCCTTCTTTCCCAAGCTTTTCCAAACCAGGAGAAGATTAAAATGCAGAAGCTGGGCCTGCCTGGATTTGCATTAGGGTTGACATTGGTGCATGCTGCTCAGCAAGTGCTGCAGGGTGGAAATTGTTCTGGATTATGGCATCCATGAACACCCATGGCATTGCCATGATTTCACCTTACCTGATTGTTTGACAGAACGCAGTATGAAACAGGAACATTGTTTTCAACAGGATGGTTCTTCTAGAATTAATGGTAGTTTAGACACAACTATAAGAAAACCTAAGTGAAGGAGCCATAGGAAATCGGAGGAGTGGAATGATGGGGGGAAAACAATTTTCACTCCCAGAATACTTGGTATCAAGGGAATTTTAGAGGAGGAACTTATTATTTTCTGGTACAGTTTATACTGGGTCTGCCCCATTTTAAGTTCTATTTCTGTATTCAACCTCTTTATCAAAATATTCACCACTATAATTACAGCTCTTGTCTAGATGAACAGAATTGTATATGTATTTGGAATGGACAAAACCATGTTGTTAAGCACAAACTTTGGCAGGTCGAGGCCAGGAGGTGGCAGTCAGTGCACACCCTGCTGTTATCCTGGCCCTGCAAGGGAAAGGCCTGCTGAAGGTCACCACCTTCAAACAGTGCATTAAGTTTATCAGATGCAGGGAAGAGACCTGCCTAGATTTCCTCCAAATTTATCCTAACTGTGCACAAATTTTTTTTTTAATGAATTTGAATCAAGTATCTCAATGTGTCATGGTTATGAAAATTATCAATTTTCTCATCAGTTCAAAATTGATGTAAAGTTAAGAAGTGGGGGTGGGGGTTGTAATTAAGGACAGGTTGTCAGTACCCTAACCTCTTGGATTTTTTTTTCTCTTGTTTCAAAAGGAAATTTTCCATTATTGTTTAGTTCATTTCCTAACCATATTCAGTAATGACCTGCGTCCTAATGAAAAGTATTTTAAAAAAAAAGGAAAAATAGTAGAAAATGAAACCAGAAACGACATAACGTGTGACTTTTTTGCTTTAAATGATAAACCAAGTTCCAGTGGTAGTCAGCTGTCCAGAGCAATACTGTGCCTGTGACAGTGTTACACTGCTGGGAGATAAAGATCAGTCATTTCTTCTGGCTGCTGTTGTCCCCAATCTGGAGACAGCTGAGGCCAAAAAGAAATGTCCCTGTGCTTCCCTGAGAGCGCACTAGAGGTTTCCTTTCCCTCTGTAGTGCTAGTCTGGGAGCATACATACAGACACACCTGGGGTTCTTCACCTTCTGTTGGTGCTAAGTTGGACAAATGGAATTGCAAAGGATTGCCTCTCTTCTTCCTGACTTGCTTTAGTTCAGAATTGGTTTTAGTCTCAGACATCGCCCCACTCCCTGACACATGGTCCTTCTAGAAGGGCACTCTGGCTTTCCCAGAGGTCTTTTACCCAGTTACCTCAGCAAAGGTGTACCCATCATTCTGGTAACTATGTGTAGTCACCACATAAGGAACACCCAGGGTTAGCAAGCTATTTGCAGGGAAGAGATTTGAGTCTTGGCAAGGGTCAAGTTTGCCCTGAAAAGAGAGAAAGGTTTTCTTAAGATTTGACAGGACTGAATATTTGCTTTCAGTATTGCCTGCACACTATCCATGATAGAGATTGTGTATTACCAAGCTGTGTGTTTTGCCTTAGTGTTTTGTTTTGAAGAGCTTTCAGTTCATTATTCCAGTTTTATTAACCAAATGTGTAGTGTAAACACACAAGACCTGATGTCATAAACACTGCCTTGATGTAAACACAGAGCACTAAACATTTTCATACCTTTTTAACTCCTTTTTAGAATTCTAAATATGGTGACAAGGCAAGGAGCATTATGGGCTAACACACTGGGATCACTGGGTAAGTAAAGTCATTCTTTTGTAGGGAAAACAATTTACTTAAAGATGTAATTATTGGGAAAGTGTATTTGTGTATTCTCTAAACAGAATTCTCTAAATTTTCATCATTAAATCCATTGTGGAAAAAATGCAAGTTTTTTCTTTGGGACATGAGGACATTTCAGTAGACATCAAAAAAGAAATTAAAGGCTAAAATAGGGTTTGAAGCATAAGTAACCAAAAGCCTTTAATTAAACCCCAAAGTTTTTACTATATTACAAACCAGAACTCTATCTGTAGAGTAAAAGAAATAACTAGAAATTATAGATAATGCTTATTTGTTAATAAATTACAGTTAATTCACAAGTTAAGGCAAAAAAATATAATTTAATACTTCTGAAGTAACTTTTCTAACCTACAGAGATCATGTGATCAACTGCCTGATGTTTGTTTCCATTTAAAGAGTCAACAAAATATTTATCTGAAGCAGAAAAGTGATAGTGACTACGAAGTTTTATCCTTTAATGATGGCCCATTAGCTAGAAAAGTCACATATGACACCACCAACTCTGAACCTAAATATTGCTCATAACTAATATGGGTTAGGAAAAAAGAGAAAAACAAATGATCAGTAACCTGATGTATGAAGAAGAGACTTCTGTGAACTGGGGTTTGGGTGGGGAATGGGCTGTGAAATAAAATCACATCAGTTGCCTTAGAAAAACTGGAGAAGATTTCATGAAAGTCAGTGAAATACCTGATGCCCTAGGGAGTACAAGCTCTTTGGCCTCCCCCCTACCCTCAGTCTTCCCCAGTCTTAAAAGGCCAGAAGTTACAGAGTACCTTTGAAAGGAGAAATGTAAAACTGATGAAATTATTTTGAAGAATAATGATGGAACTCATTGCCCTACAACATTGTAGTGGAACTTAGCAATATTTAAATCAGATGACATCATGTAATATATTTGAATTTTGAGAAATGCATCGAAGCATACGCTAAGTTGCATTTATTACATTTTCTTTCAGTCTTATTTCTAAAGAGCAGATTAGCTGCCATTCAAATCAGACATTACCTTTTGAGGCATAGTAGAGAAGCCACAGAGACAGGATTCTGAACTACAGCAAAAGTGGCACTTGTTTCATAGGAGATACATTGATTGCCTAGTGAGTTTTATTGTGCCATTTTTTGGTTGGTTCATTTTTCTTATTTTTTGTTCCAAATCTAATCAAAACATGTCTGAAAACTGAGATGCAGATACACTGCAGTTCAAGGTTCCAGTTTAAGTGACACATTAACATGTTTTTTCAGCTGTGTTTGAAGAAAGATTACTCAAGAAAGTGTTTGTGCATTCCAGTAACAAATTGTTATTTTCCTACAAAATGCAGCCTCCAAAATCAGAGAGTTAAGCTGAACTTTAACTTTGGGGATTTTGTATAGCTCTGTCTTGTCCTAGCTACCAGAGGAGTTCCTTTCAAAGGAGCTGAATTATTTTTGCTTTTGATTTTGCTTGTCCAGCATTTCTGTATCTCAAAGATTCTTTTTGTCACTACTGACAGTTTTTGTCATTCTGTTCCTGAACAGGGGCAACATCTGTGTTGAACTGCTTAAAAAAATTATGTTGAATTCAGCTTTTCCTTCCCCTCACTCTTAATACTACTTGCTGCTAAGGCAAGCTAAAATACCATTGCCTGTGCTGAAAGGAGAAAGATGCTGCTGTTCAACTCTTCAGCATTATTGTTGTTGTTCAGGAATGATTTACATGCTTTTTAGCAGAAGTCAAGATTTCAAATTGTCAGCATGAAATACAAGGGGGGTTTTTGATGTCTTTCATTTAATGCATGAAATACACGAGGGGTGGTGATGGTGGTGCCTTTTCCCTTCATCACAATGCATAGATGATAGATGCATCCATACTGAAAAGCCCATGCATTTTTCTTTCTTGTTGTCTAAAGTTGTCCCAGAGCAAAATGTGCTCTAGGGATAAAGTTTTCATTTCCAGCTGCTGCTTCTCTGCCTGTGCATGTCAAATCGCAAGCAATCCAATATTAATTTAAATATCTATAAAATAGAAAGAGGTCTGGGGAGAAAACCACCAAAGGTGGGATTTTTCAGAGGATTCCTCTCCTTTAAATAAGCAGAAAATCAGTGTTTCAGAAGCACAGTCTAAATAGCTACACCAAGCCTGGATTCTAAGCCTTGTGTCTCAGGCAATGGGGGTTTTAACTTGAGTTTTCTTAATCTTTTTTTTCCCCAGCTCTACTTTACAGTGCATTTGGAGTCATCATTGAAAAAACACGAGGTGCAGAAGATGACCTGAACACCGTAGCTGCTGGAACCTTGACAGGAATGCTATACAAGAGCACTGGTAGAGTAGCAAAGTGTTTCTCCTTTTCCTTCTCTTGTACTTCGTCCTAGTTATTAGGATCCTCATTACTTCTACTAAATACTGTCCTGCTCTGAAAATTGACAGTGTAAAAATGACTATTAGCTCAAAGTCCCCAGCACAATGTTTTTTCACACAACTAAGACTACTTAAGGAGAATTTGCACTTTAAAGAAAAATCAAGCTAAATTAAATTTGATTCTTTCCAACTTGCACAGGACTGACAATAATCATGAGAGCCAAATTACGACTTTATACCTGTATACTGAAGAAACACTCAAGTATTTACTCAGGTTTATAGTAAGGTTGTGTAAAATACATACCCACCTCATTCTTAGCCATGTTTTTCAGCGACAGCAGGAATAAAACTAATTGTTTCCCAGAATACACAGAACATAGAGCTTGACTGCATGAACATGAAACTTTCTACAGGTGATTCATGTGATAGGAATTCATGGGATAGTAGCACCCAGAGCTGCACAAAACCCTACACACATCGAAACGGATGTATTTATGAGGTTATTACTTAGCTGTTGGTGAAACTGTTGTCCTGTGGTAGGACTCTGGTCTTTGCATAGTGGTCAAAACCAACAAACAACATCATTTGAGAACGGCATGGCTTTAAGGTTAGTTTGCTGATGCATCCTGAATTGTTTGCAGAAGAGAGAGTCTGAGCTTCATCAGCAAAATGTCTGTCAACACATGTTCAAAGCTTGACCATTGGAGGTGTCATCTTTTTTAGAGGACTGCTGGGTACCACAGACTGATATTACCACATGGAGTAAAGCCTTAAGTAACTCAATAAAGGTTTGGCTATATGAGTCACCTGCATTTTACTAAGGAGATAATTCTAGAATTAACCTATGTACTTCTGCATATCTAACTGAGCCTCAGTGTCTCAAAAGCATTCCTGAAGTCCAGCTTTATAAATCAGGCAAAACAGTTTGAGCAGTCTTATTTTCCTGTTGGCCTAGACGAACTGAAACCAAAAGTAATTGGCTTCAGCAGCCCTCATAAATACCAGCTTGTGCTCTTAACTCTGCAAGGGCACACAGCTCTCTTGTAATCTGCTAGTTCCTTGAGGTTTCATGAGTGATATGACAGGTTAGCAGTAACAGCCAGATAGGGTAGCAGTGTAGAAGTCTAACATTTTCTGTAGGAGGTTAATAAGAACTGCCATCTTAGTCTCCAGCAGAACTTTCCCCCTTACCTTTCCAAAGTATAGAGCTGGCATTACATGTAATCTTGTTTTGTCACAGTGCAACCACAGATAATTCCCCCAGTCACATGCACAGTCATCTGACACTACTGAAGTTTTTCTAACCAGGGCACAGTGGGACTTTCTGTTTTGTAACATAAGATCGACTGAGCTAATAGTAGCACTGATAAAGGCAAATGTAGTCAGTAAATCTGTATTCATTACAGTATTGTATTTCAAGTATGTGTCGTGCATATGAACCACAGTGCAGAGAAACTCAAAAGAAATAAGTTTTTCACCATATGCAGGAAATGTGACCTCAAAGATCAAGGATTAGTTCTCAAAGTGAAAAAGATTATATTCACATCTGTTTCAAGAATTTAGTTCCAATCTTTTTTTTTTTCCCTCTTGCTGCTTCTCCCATTCTACCTCTCCTGTCACCTTATGCCAGAATGCCCTTTCTTATTCTGTATGGTAAAACTTCTAAGTTCTGCCTTTGCTCAGCATCAATGTATATATTCACCTAAAAAACCTTGAATATTTAAACAATGCAAATCATCAGCACACATCTGTGACATATCAAGATTGTAATCATTTCCTCTGTTACATGGAATGCCATGTTGTGTTGGCATAAAAAAAAAAAAAAAAAGGAAAATTTAAAAGCTATCCAGGACACTTAGTTATAAACCTCCATATTTTAGTGTCAGCTGGAAACTCCCACAAACATGCCATTGCAAATCAAGGCTGTTCTGTAATTCACAAAGTGTAGTTACAGAGTTGGAAACAGTGCCGTTCAAACACTCAGATTTCCCACTTCCATCATTCCTCCTTGTAAAGAGGTTGGGAACATACTTAAGAAGAAACCTATAACGTATGGAGGTCTTTTATTATGACTTCATATTTAAACACAGCACTGCTGGAGGAATCACATCAGCAGCTGTGCTGCACTGAAAAATCCTCTTGTGTACACGACAAAGCCTAGAGTGAATTTCTTAAACAAATGATAAGCATTTGATGAGTGACCAGGGAAAAAAAAGTAGTGGGAAGACTTTTTGGAAGCTGAGATTTGTTACCCCAAACTGGTCCCCATTTTCACAATTTGTCCTTGTGGAAGTGTTAATCATTACCAAAATGCCAGGAGTCAAACAGAACGTGTACGTTCTAAAGCCATTGGATTGTGAGCAGTTTTGTGCAAGGCTACTTGACACACAAGCTGTGTGTGAGAAGATAAAAGAGGATTGAAAAGTCTGCAAGTGAGGACAAACTGTGGCAGTTCAGCCTCCCCCCATGTTCACTGGAAGTGGCAGTAGTCACTGGAAGTTCCCCATTGCAGGTGACTAAAGCCATTAAATCCCCATCATATATCAAGTGTTAGCTGGAATCCATCTCCCCACACTGCATGGCTTAGGTTAACATACACTGAATTGCATTTAAACATAAAACTGATATAAGCAGTTTTGAAACATCATACTGGTTGATTCCTCTGACCAAAGTGATCTCTAGCTTTCACATTTATTTTAAATTAAATTCAGTACCAATATTACTTAGTAGATTTTAGCCCAAATGTAGTAGTGAGAGTACAGTATTAACTTGTTTCACCAGACTTACAGCTTTAGGGAAGCTGCTTTTTGAGCTCACCATTTAACTTCTACCCAGAACATTCAGTTTGAGTGACAGACAAAATAAAACCCTTTGTGTTCCTCTGTCAGTGGCATATGTAGTAGAAATGTTACTGTGACTCAGCCAATTCAGTTTGAGTTTGGCTAAAAGGAGGTCTGGATATCCCAAGTCCACAAGGATGGTTTTTCCATTTAATAAGATACTATTCTTTATTCTTCAGTTTCAAGAAAAGGCAGAAATTAATATCTGTTAATATCTGTTATGCCAGAGTTTTTTCTGATAAATGTTATGAAGCATAAATACATCTTAAACAAACGTTTAGCCCCCTTGCCCATGTTTTCAACCTCTTTTCTAAGCCATACATCTTTCATTTCCTCATAATTTTACTAGTAACCAAAAGTAACAAAAGATGATTGGCACCGTGCACTATGTTATTATCTCCCACCATGAAAATGCACATGGTTCAAGTCATCATGTCACCAGGGTACAGCTGGCTGAGGATCTTGCACTGCTCAAGGATTGATCACTCAGGAAAAAGATCCTGAGCTAGGTGGGACTTTGGTCTGACCCTGTGTGACAGCCATTAATTTCTCACTGAAATTCCTGACAGAGACTTCAGTAAGCAAAAAAGTTAACTAACCTTTACCTCTTATCTGAGGGTTACACAGGTTGTAGATGTTCTTTTTCTTAGATAATTACCCCTCCCAAGGTTAGGGGTAACAGGAACAAAAGTAAAGCAGTGCTTTGGAAAAACTGAATTACTTGGTTTTATATACTTTTGTGCAGTAGGAACCGATACTAAGCACAGCATCTCATGCCTTTTGCACAATAGATGTTATGTAATTTGGTATATAAAGTGGTGTGTGTCTGAGAAGAAGGGAACTGCATGCTAGCAATAGCTGAAGGTAGTAGCTGTCATTTTAAGACCTCAGAACACAGCCCTGAAAAGTCAATACGTTATGAATTATGAATGTTTTATTGCCAGCAGTAAAGTCTGGCTGGAGCTCAAGATCAGTTCTGTGACATTCAGTGGGTAGTTCAGGGCAGCTGTGTTAGCTGACTACTTCTTGAGCTACAGAAAGCCTCTTCCCTTTGGGCTCAACCTGGGTTTTTCTTTGGGCCGGACAGGATTGTTTTCGTGTTCCTGTGGCGTGGGGAGGGGGAAAGAGGAGCTTCTGGGGGACTGCCCAGGTGTGGGCCTGGGATATCTTACTGTTCTGCATTATTTGGAGAAAAGCAAGTAAAGGATTTGCCTCTGAACAGGGAAGTTGAGGGCTGTCAGGCATTTTAGAAATTAAGAACCTCTTAAAACCTCTTTCAGCAGAACAGGTCCATAGGATTATCAGTCAAATGGTGTTTAGTGAAAGGATTTTGTTTCAGATCTGAAAGAAGGAAGAGATAAGGGCAAAGTACAAGCAGCATGATAGCTTGTTGAGGCTTTCTTAGTTACATGAGGACTGATGTCTAAGAGTATGAGTGGCCACTGAGAGCAGTGCTGCCTTCAGTGCTGCCCAGCCCTCCTAGGCAGGAACAATGAACTAAGGGCTCATTCCTACAGGGATTTGCAGGTGCCATTTAAAGCAGCTGAAGTAGCCTCCTGTCACTCAGGTGCTGCTGCTTTCACTCAGTGAGAAGATAGGAAATTTTAATCATGTTTGCAAAGTAATTTCAACAGCTCTAGTACTTCTAAACTTGTAAATTAAATTGTAAATTCCTACTGTTTTTCTAATTTAGCCTTCATAGCACAGGAACTACAGGAAATGTTCCCTGTTTCAAGCTTTGTTGTTTCTGTATTTTAACCACAATACTGCCTTAGCTGCAGCAATATGAAAATGGAGCATGCTTTTTTGGAATGTATCTTGCTTCCATATATAAGTTTATCAACTTCCTCAGTAATTTCTGTATCCACAGACTTTGCCCACACTTTAAAGATTTCATAAAATAAACACGTGGAGCAGCAGGAGGAAACTGTTCGTATTTTCTAATGACATAGGCCCACTAGGACTACCCATAGATGTTCAAACAAATGTCTTGATGGTTCAGGTGGTCTGGTTAGCACCACTATGCTTTAATTTGGAACAAAACTGAGATTGCCTTGTACATTTGAGAAGCTGAACTCGATAAAAAAATATTTTCGTGCCTGAAAGGAAGAGAAACTATTTTCATTCAGAGTATCCAAGAGAGAGATTAGAAGACAGAAAACTAGTAACTATTTAATGATTACACTTCTTTTGTTTGGCATAAGTGTGCCAGCCTGAGGTTTCAGTTAAGGTATTTCCAGTGTTTGCTGTTGGATGGTTCTTGGTTCTAACATCCCAGGAACTGTCCCAGCATAGTGGAGTAACATTCTGAAAATCGAGACCACAAGGTTCTGAGGACTTTGCCCTAATGTTATGGCATGTAGTAATGGTTTTACCTACTGCACAAGTCCAGTTCAGTGTTAGGAGTGGCTCCTACCATGAAAAACACAGAGCTGTGCTGTTGGAATGCTGTGTCATAACACAGCTGCATCAGAATGCAGTGCTGTGTGTCATGGCACAGTGTTCACCAGAACCTACTGTAAATGCACAGAATAGAGACAATACTTTATGGTGAAAGGGTGCAGCAGCCAAAGCCAGAGAACTAAACTCCCATTTAGAGAGCATCAGATGTATCTTTGGAAACCCATAGCAGTTCTCAACTATTGTGCAAGGTGCCTGGTCTCAAAATACCTGCTTCCAGAAGCATCTGTCAGCTGGAACCTTTATCTGACTGGGACGTGCAAGATTAGAGGCTCACAACCACGTTTCAGCAGGGTTTGTCAGGGCAGACTTGGTATCAGAGGCTTGCAGAGAGTGATTGCAGAGGAGGGGTGGGAACGTGTTCTATCATGTAAACACAGCTGGGATGGGAGTGGAGAATTTCTTTTTTTATTTTTCTTAACAAGTTAATTTTCCTCAGAGGGCCTAACATTTCTGCCCAGCAACAGGGCTGCATTCGACAGTGCGTTACTGTTTGAAGTCTGCCACAGACCTGCACGTACTTACTCAAATGCAAATCTGACCAGTTAGAGAAAACTTTCCTTTCCCTTTCTCTTTTTTTGTATTTACCGTGGATAGCTCAGAAACCAGGACAAACTGCTACAAAAAAAAAAAATAAAAAATTACTGTGAATGTTTTGTAGCAGAAGCTTAGGCAACCTGGTAGGAAACATTTTTTTACCTGTTTCCTTGGATATTTTCTTTCTCAGTAATGCACAAGTTTAGTTCCTGTTCACAAAACATCTTCAGCAATGTCCCCAAGTTGTCTGCCAGCCTACAGATGGCTTTAGGCCCTGCAATTGTAAGCAGGTTCAGAGCTGCCATCCTTACCTGGCTGGCCTCAGCACATGGAAATACCAACATCTGTTGTGTTAGAAGTAGTACATCTTAGCAGAACTGTGCCCTGGGTCCACATGATGCTACAAAGTGGCTCAGCTATCCAAATTAAAGATGATACTTTTCTTGTACAATCCTGACTTCACAGAATCTGGAACCAAGCTCAATCAGCTTTTGACTACCTGTCCTTCCATAAGAATAGGATTTTAAGAGGAAAGGAGAAGAACTGAACATGGGGGCTTAGGGAAGAACCTATGGGAATAGTCATAGCTCTGTCTGCATTGTGTTGTGTGGGGATGTTCCACATTCTGTGCGTTTCCCTGTACACCCTAATGGTTATGAGCCCCCTTTGGAGCTTTCTGCTGTGATCGGTTGATTCCTGATAACAACAGAAAATCAGGCTCTCATGTTTTATTCATTTTTCCCAGCAGAAACGAGGAGTCAATATTTTTACAGATTATCTCAAATACTTGTTTTGCACAAAGTGTCCTTTAAATTTCACCTGTGGCTTTTTGCCAGACACTGCTTGCACTTGGTTAGTTTTGTGTACCCAGCTGCAACCCCTTCATATGAAAAGCTTTTTGTGCAACAAATTCAGGATCAATTAGCAAACACAGAAGTCCACATTTGCTTTCCTAAATGATGATTTAGGCACATAGAGCATACTCAGTAAGGCTTTTCTTAGAGCTGTTGAATTCTCAGCAGTTAGGGCAGCAAACTTAGGCTTATACACCAAAAAACTCAGATGGTCACAGCTGGTCTGGGAATGAATTTTTGAGAAGCTATGACTAGACATGGCTTCTAGTATGAAGTCCCACTTGCGCAGCTTCTTGGTTTCATTGCATGCCTGGGCAATAGGAGGAGGTTTAACAACTCCAATGAAATGTATTTTAACCTTGCAACACAGGTAACACAGTCTCAGTCTAACTGACACCATCAGCTTTGTGCCCCAATACAAGCCTAAAAGCAATTCTGTGAGACAACGTAATGACCCACAATGGGGAAAAAAATAAAAATCTCTGATTACTGAGATGGATTTGCTTTCAAGTTTGAGGAACCTGAATTGCACTGCCAGTTTCACCAATAAGGCAGACAGGTTTTATCTCACTGTCAGCAGAAACTGGCCTTGTTCTATACACTGTACACATTATCTAACTTGCTTCAGCTGCAATGATAAACATTGCAGAATCAACCTCAGTGAAGTTTTCCTAGCGTTGAGGGTCATACTCTCAGCTGTGCATTTGTGGTGCATTCTGGGAGCTCTACTGAGGCACTTCCTACTACTGAGGAATAGAAGCATTTTGCTGTTTAGTAAAAGCATCAGAAGTCTCTACTTCTGCCCCTGTACACCCCAGCACTTACATGGATGGAATGGAGTTGGGGTGCCATCTGACTCCCAGCTTCAGCCACGTAGTAGCCAAACTTGCCCTCTCTTTTTGCCTTACACTAAGGTGCTCACAAACCTTAATCACCTGTTGTGAGGTGATAATTTTGAATATTAATAAAACTAAGAATATTACTAAAACTAAATAAATTGGTCAATGTACACCCTAGTAAATTCTTGCCAGTTAATCTCTCTCATCTACTTTCTATTTTTTTTTATCGAAGGGTTTTAAAATTCCAAAGACACAAAAGCAGTGATAAGTTCTGCACAATGGCCCTCACAAATCTCTGGAGCCCAAGGCCATGTCCACATCAGCTGCTGTTGTGTTCACTTATTTCCCTCCTGCCCGTTCTCTTTCCGCCCAGCGCTAGTTACCATAACTGAAAAACATTCCTCCTCTGAAAACCTAAATGGAAGAGTTCTTAGAGCGGGAAGAGATCATACCTAACTGTAAACAATTGTGTTAAGGACAGTTGGAATAGATTGGGAAAAGCCATCTTTGCTTCCAGGGCTCTGTAGTGGTTCCATGAGGCAGCAGTGCTAACACATTTTGAGAGGAAGCCATAACAGCCAAATTAGTGTCAGGATCAGGAATGACTGACCTCAAGCCTGGCAGCAGGTTTGAGAGGAAGATAGAATTAGCACAAGGACCCTTTCTGGAAAGTTACTCAAAAAAGAAAACCTGTTTCATTAAAATGTCTCTGGATTTAGAGATCTTCTTGGAAGTGCTGTTGACTGACCATTTCCTCAAATGTAACTCCAATGAGCTTTACTGTTTTTTTCTGTTTCAGGTGGAATGCGTGGGATAGCACGAGGTGGGATCGCGGGGCTGACGCTGACCGGCCTCTACGCTCTGTACAACAACTGGGAGCACATGAAGGGCTCCCTGGCCCGCCAGTCCCTGTGAGCAGGGCAGAGGACACACTTGCATAGTCACCAATCAAATCAGTTGTGAGATGTATCTGGTGCCCCTTCCTATTTTATTTACAATTAGTGTGAAACCGAAGGAAGCTGTGCTGGGAGGAACCTCTTGACACCGTGTAGCTGGACTGGCCCTTTCCTTCCCACCAGCCAGTTGCTGGAGAGGCAGCAATATTTGTTGGACTTGCAAGTGAACAGAGTGGCCACCAAGACAGTCTTCCTGGCACGCTCACCAGCCAGCCCTGGGCCAGAGCCACAAGGCCTGCTCAAGTCCCACTGCCAGGTTTGTTGGGGCACGGCAGCGACAGCCCTGTAATAAAGTCTGTGTCCATAGACCATTCCCTGCAGCCTCAGCACACATCACCTGGCAACTGGCACAGGGCAAGGCTTGTTACTCTGACAGCACAAGGCAAGCTATAAAAAGGGACATCATCATTAATAAAAAGGGTGGTACTTACTCAATGCCATTTCTATCCTTTGCTGTTCCTACCACTGGTAAGACAAAAATGTGCTGCATCCACTGACTTATTTATGGATTTATTTTGAAGGACCAACGTGATAAAATCCTGGGGGAGTCAGTGGGTGAGGGGAAGTGGACTAGCAGGCTGAGGGTCTCCTGATGCGTGGTTGTGGTGGAGCATAGCAGGGCTTCCCTGCACGCCCTTATTTGCGCTAATAAATAAGGAACTGGTTGTTTATGGATGAGGTACAGTTGCTGTTGCAGAACAGCTGCCAGTGGATTATCAAAACACTTGGGTGCTCCAGTATCTCAGAGCTCATTTAGCCAACAGTTAGAAACCGAACATATAGACTCCTCTCATTGCTTATTACAGGACTTCTAATTAGCACAAAGCTTTTTGCCTGAAATACCATTTGTAAGGTTTTGGCAGAATGAAGGCTGTGATGAACCTAAACTTTCTCCGGTGTTAAAATTAAACCATGTACCAAGCATCATTTGTGCATAAATTAAACAATAAGATGTTAATGAGTTCAGTAATTAGAGTTACTGTACAACAGCTCATTCCTTCAATGTTTAAAGAATTAATCAGGTAAATCATTAAACAGGACTGAAGACAGTGTGAAGGCAGGGCAAGAGAAAAACAGGAAACTTACTGCTTAGCAGACAACTTTAAGCTAAACAAGAATCTACTTTGAGTTCTCCTTCCTGAAGCAGCTCTCGATAACTACAGTGCACCTGACAAAATAAAGGCAACCAAAAAGCAGTAACAGGAAGGTGGTAACTCTTACCTTCCTCCAAAAAGACATGCAGCTTTTGCTAAGAAGCCTCCTTAGGAGGAAATGGCCACCAAGACCAGCTTTTTATAGAGCTCCAGCTAACAAGCCCTCACAGCTGAACTCAATTAGCTTTGCTTGGATACCAGGTCAAATTAGATGCTTTATGCCAGCAATGCCTGTTTTTGCTAAGCCCTATGTTTCACAGTGATCAGTGGGTTGCATATTACTGTTGTGGTGTGACAGCTGCACTTTCCAGTGGGCATTTTTTGAGGGCTGCCACCAAAGAAATTGTCCCCTGCTCGCAGCTGCACAGCAGTGTCGTGGGACATCAGGAAAACATGTGCTCTGCTCGCTCTTCTGAGCTTTTGCCCTCCCCGTTGGCATCAGTGAGTTCCTCCCCCACGTTTCTTGGTCACCATTAGTTGGACTTAAGTTCCAGTGCTCTTGACCATGATGGATGAAGGATTAAGAGCTGCTTTGGGGGCTGATGGTGGGTGAGCATTGCTTTTTAAATCAGGAACTTTGCAATGTATCTTTTAGGTTTTCTAGAGATTTTTTCAGGACTAAAATATGACCCAGGAGCTCTCTGCCCTAATTAAATGGGAAAACTCTGAAGCTTAACAAATGTCTTTCCTCCTTTAGGTACACTAGAGATAATGTAGGAGTAAGCCTTTCCAAGTTCAGAGTTAGCACAACCTGAGTCTAGGCTGACTCTTGAACAACTTAGCATGTTATCTGGTCTGCAATACCCCCAGGTCTCCTGGAATTGCTTACCTCAGGGGCAGAGCTGAGTGCATTTTTCTGAAATAGCTGTGTTACAGCTATTAAAAGCTTTGGTTCATAATTTGTTTGTATATGGAGTGATCCATAGTTTGAGCTTTGAAACACAACCAGCATGGAGGCAGCAGTGAGGGAGGTGAATTGTGCATATGGAATAGAGGGAACATGTTTACGATATTCTGTGTCATGATATACTGTGTTCACAGTTTAATGGCAAACAATCAATATACCAACATTTATGCAAGTTCAGTAGGAATAAAAGGAAGTAAAATCAAGTTGCAAACAGGATTTGGCAAGCAAGTTCCAGCCCTCCCATGCAGCATTACGTAAATGTGAGCATGGGAGACCTTGGCTGTCTTGAAGAGCAGGGTTTTGGTGCCAGTCTGGCATCCAGCTTTGCTGAGAGATCCAAGGCAGCTTTCTGTGCTGTGGCAGCAAGTGAGGGAGCCCGAGACAACAGGTGTAGTGAAAGCTTTTTGAATCTTGTAAAGCTGGGTTTGCTTAGTCTTTGGAACAGAAAGGCAAACCACTTGCACTATCCCCTGCCAGCAGGTGACTTTTCTTATGGTTGGGGGAATTTGTTGAAAAAAAAAAATCAACAAATTTCTACTAGTCATGGTAGAAATCTCCAGCTTCCCTGAAGAAAGAAGCTGCTTTTAAAAATAGAAGGCAAACGTATGTTAGGGGAGAAAAATGATCCAGTGTTCATAGCCTGTGTTTCCTGTGACTGCAAAAGAAGGGGAAAATCCTTTTCTATGCTTTAACAGAAGGTTACTCTTGTCCTTAATAAATTCTGGATAGGAAAGTGGTATGTTTTAAGTGGAGCTTTGTGTACTCTGTGGGCGTTGGACTGTGCTGGTGAGTGCCAGCCCAATGCAAGGACACCAGAGGGTACCACAACCCTTTTTGGTACTTTCACAGCATTATTAATACCAGTCTTGTGTCCCCCTTGGGTGTCTCTCTCCCGTCTGCCAGCCACGCTCTCCCTGCCTCTGACAACAGCTGCCCAATTGCACCACAGCTGGTTTGGGGCCAAGGAGTGGAGCTGGTGTCCCAGGAACCCTGCAAGCACCCTGCTCCAGGGAGCTGTGTGGGAGAGAAGGAAGCATTCCTCACCACAAGGCAACAATCCAATATCTGAGATTGTTCAAAGAAAGCTCTCCAAACATTTGAGCATTCTCAGCTCCTGCTACTGACCTCTTTGTCTTGGGATGACTTAATAGTATCTTTTTCCCTATCTTTGAAAGCTAAACATTCAGGATACACCCATGAAATTCAAAGTACCGTGGCTGAAAGGCTGCCAGGCTCAACTGTAAATGTTCTCTTACTGGTACAAAGTAGGCTGGAGTTTAAAGGAATGGAAAATCCTCAGAGGAGGAACCACTCATGCAGGGAGTCTGATGTTCAAACACCAGGAGAGCCAGAGAGGAACTCGATTCCAATTGCACAGCCAGACCACAGATGTTTTTCAGCCACGGGAGAAGAGCAGCAAAAGCCACTAAAATCCATGAATCCTCTTTAAGTATTCAAGAGTGATAAGAAGCAAATGCACCACTTTGTCCAAGTCTGTATTTCTTAGAGCAGCTGAGCAAAGCCCAGGTGATTCAGACACAAAGCTGCATGTCCAGCAGCTCACCTTGCAGGGTAGTAAAAGACAGGAGTTTCCCCACTGGCTGTGTACCCTGTCCCAGGGTTTCCCCCTTTCCCAGTGGAGCTCCATGCAGCTCCAGGCAGTGGTGAAATGAACTAAAGCACATGAATCTCATGTGAGGATGAAAGCACAACTGCAGCAGCTCCCAGACAGAGGCCAACCAGGACCTGTGCCACAGCACTTTTTGTTAACCATCTTGCAAAGGAGACATAACACACCCTTTGGTTGCAATTATTTTTTAATGGAAAAGACTAATCAATGTTTTACATAAATATCAATTAGTGACAACAAGTCAGTTGAGTAAATAAAGGAATACATACCTCCCAAGTTTTAAAGGCCCATAATGAACTGACAAAGTAGCACACAATGACAACTACAAGGAATTCATTAGAAGAGGTGGGCTGCACGTCAATCACCTTCATAAAATTCAACTGCTAATCACATCAGGCTCTTACTGGAGCAGTCACAGTGCAGTCCTCCCATACAGCAACAAGGACACATTTGAAAGGGACAGTGGACTTCCAAAACACCTTTCTGCCTCCAGCAGAAAGCCCTGGCTATGAAAGTACAAAAGCCTTAAGTGGTTTGCTGATGTTAAGCCCTTTCAGGGTCTGGTTTCAGATGTGCAGTGTCCCCTTCTCAGACTAAAAACTTATTTTTAAACAAATGCACGGGTTCGATCAGACAGGAATGTGTTCACACTGCAAAGTGGTACCAAGGTCAGATCTTGATAATAATTTCTTTTCTACAGGGTTGTGAAGAACTCAACTTCCATTCCCAGGCAGGCTGCAGAAGGGGAGAAGGGGAGGCTATTTTCAAAAAGAGCAATTTGTTAAGTGAATAGAAACTGCACCAGAAATTACAAAACTTCAGTGTTTCATGATCCATATTTCCATCTAACATCTTTGCATTCTTTCCTACAGGCTCAAACTGCTAAATATCTGAAGAGGTATTGCTCATATTATGTCCACAGCTATAAGGATATGAGTTACTGGATGCACTTTCACATGCATAATCACAGGGAAATCCACAGATTAAATACCTTTAAACTGCATCAGTGGGAGCCCCACAGTTTGCCAAGTTAGTGTTTCCCAATGAAACAGCATAACATCAATCTGCTGAAAGGCATCTAATTCCCCAAATATTACCTTTAAATATTATATGGCTAAGATGCCTACTTTGCAGTGGTTCAGTCAATAAAAATTCATTATGAATTACCTAGAACTAGCAGAAACATACACATTCCATTTTACAGCTTTTCCAGTGACATTTAAATAGTTATTAAATGCTGGGGACACGGTAGGATCTGATCTCCTGATGAATGAAAATCAACACCCTACCACATTCTCTGAACGGCTCAAAAATTTGCAAGAAAAGTTTTCATTTAAAAATAAGTTACCAATTCTCCTGTTGCATGCCAGGTCCCATAAATCTATGTTCTTTTCAAAATCTGGACTACACATACGCAGCTGGGAGATGCACCAATACAAGATGCAAATGAAGCCTTCGAAGTTGGCAACTGCTCAATAAAAGAAATTGCTTCCAAATACAGCCTAAGTTACCTTGCAATCCCCATAAGCTGGAATGCAATGCATGAGAAAGTTGTAGCAGCTGAAAGGAACAGCAGCACTTCTAAAGTCACTGCCAAAGGTGGACGTTTCACAGCACCAGGAAGATTTTGCTTTATACTTGCACTGGCTTCAACATACTTCAAGTGACAACCCATGAAAGAAGATCCTTGTATCCCCATAACAGACAGGAATTTGCCAACACCTCTATAGCATCAGATTGCTTATGTTCAGTGGGTTTACATTTCAGAATTAATCATAACAAAAAGGCATCTTCTGCACCATAACTCTGTTATATGAGTAATCTTTCTTTTTGTTATAATTTTAGAAGAAAAAGCAGACGGCCGAACACGAAACACGAGAACTCAGCTGGCTGCAGTCACTCAGCACGAAGGGGATGGTTCGACACTTCCAGTTCTTCACATCTAAACAAATTTAAAATGAGGTTACTCTCTTTGATAAATAGAAAGCAACACTTTGGCAAAAATAACACATATAAGATACCCTGGGGGGGGGAAATAATACTAAAATTCCTCCTAGAATGAGTATCTTGCCTTTTAGGGTTTGAAGTACTCCTGCCAAGGACTATTTTCATCAATTTCAAAAACGATGACAAAGAGTCATTGTCAGAAAGGAAAAACGTGATGTCAGTTGTAAATATATTACTACCTGGAAATTTATACATTAATTGCACATTCTAGTTCCAATTGAAGTGACCAAGTGTCAATCAGTTGAGTGATTTACACAAGAACATATGTCATTCCTTCTGTGGCTTGTTATCAAAAGAGGAGGAATAATGACAAAGGAGAATGGTCCAAGCTATTGAAAAGGTCTGTTGGGAGGAAATTACAACACTGCTAAGCATTACATTTAAAGAACTGAAGATGACCATTAGCTGCCAGTGTCCGTGTTCTGTACCCCCAAGTCATGTTTAGGCTCAGCTGTTCTAACACACTCTGTGCATCCTACCTGTAAAGGAGATCGATACAGCCACTTTTCGTTATCTCCACTGAGTTTCATACAGGCAAAAAGATCACAAACTGTAGGAAGGCCAAAGTCCTGAAAGAGAAGTCACCTTAATTACTGATCCCCAAACACAAATACATTCTGATTTCTCTTCAAATTCTGCTAAGTGTTCGAAAACAAAACCAAAACTGACTTCTGAGTCTTTGAGATTAATACTTTCTTCATTTAGTATAACATTGTTTTGTGTTAAGTAACTAATAATCATGAAAATATTAAAAGAGCTAAGAAACCTAAAACTGTCACTCAGTATTACCCAGAAGAGCTATGAAATTGGAAGAGAAGTCATTAGAGTAAGACAATAAACCCAGCACATAAGACAGAGCAGTAACAAGTTTATGCTCACTTGTGCTTTCTTGCGCAGAAGCCATTTATCTTCCGCTGGAGGCGGGTTTGCATTTTCCAGGTCATTGGAAGTCAACACCCAACTGTTCACATTCAAGGGGAGGTGGAATGGAGCCAGGAGGTCTAGGAAAGGACTCTTGAAACTCTTGTCTGCTTTTTCCCGACTCGCCTTTTCTTCTGCGCTTTCTGCTCTGTGCTCAGCCTTGGCCAGCCAGCTCGTCAGAGGCCTTTCCAGCAAGACTTTCAAGGGTTCTGCGATCTCTGCCGAATAATCCGCTTTCTCCGCACTCACGGGCTGCCCTGGGAGCTGCTGTGTGGGGTTAAGCCAGGTACTGGCAGCAGACTTGGTCTTCTCATACTCAGGGTCTGGTGTATCTTTCTGGCTGACTGGAACTCCATTTTTATCCTTCCAATCCTTCTTCAGAAGCCACTTACAAAGAGCCTCTTTTCCACAGTTTTCATCACACACACATTCTGAAAAGCTGGCACACAGCTCATTCGCTTTGCACACATCTTCCACTTTAAAGGGGGCCTGGGGATGTTGAAGAAGCCAAGCATTTACAGCAGATGTAGTGGGCGATTTCTTTCCATCGAGATGCTCATTCAGGCACTTCAGATTTCCCAGGTTCTCAATTTCCACATTTTTGATCTGGCTGCCACGACAACTGGTACATGTTTCAGCTTTGAGGAGCCAATCACTCAAATTGCATTCTTCCCTAAAAGGTTTAAACTCACACTTCCATTTCTCATCTGAAGCAGTATTTCCATTTTCTGTGTCAGCAGTAATCAGCCAGTCAGAAAGGTCCATCTCTTCTTGTCCAAGGTATTCCAGTTCCTCCACCTTTTCAATAGTGGAAAAGGATGAGCTGGAAGTAGAGGTGGAGTCCTTGCGGCCAGGGGAGTCTGTCTTCCCAGCAACATCACACTGCTGATTCTGCAGGAGCCAGTTCTCCAGATCTTTCAGATTTCCCCAGGCTTGCTCAGAATAACAAACTTTGGAAGAATTCAAATCCTAGTAAAGACACATTGAAATACATCTATTAAGACTAAAAGACAAAGTTCAGTAACTGTTTGCATAGTTACAGCTTGGAGCATCCAGACAGTAAGTGCCAAAGGATTAGCTGAACATGAAGCAGAATAAAGAGAATTACAGAAGGTTTAATTCCCACCATATTCTGCCTGCTATCAGATACTCTGTTTCCCCCTCTGTCAAAAACTAGGTTAAGCGCAAAAGGCTTACCTGGCTGGGCTCTGACACACATTTTTGTGTAACCCATTCCTCAAGATTGGTGCTGGGAACATATGGAGCCTGGTGAGCAGCCACGGGTCTGCTTCCCAGTAGCCAGTCCGCAAGGGAGGCACTCACTGTGCCACACAGTGTCTTCTGCTGAGAAACAATGTTGTTGGTCATGAGAATGTCTAATTGCTGAGGCAATCTATGGTGAACATCAACATACATCAGTATTTCTGCACCAAAAGAAAAACCAGTCCCTTCTAATTACAAAAAAAGTAAATCTTCAATTGCCTGTATGACTTGAAGCCACTGCACTGATTGTTTTGTGACCCCAGATTCTTCAGAGAGCAAATTACGAGAAAGGGAAGCGACAATTTCTAAAACGCAGAGCTCTGAGATGTGTAACCCAGCCATCCCCCTGCTCCTGGCCCCAATTCCCATTACTGATTTGCTGCCCTCCTTCACTGACACGGTGCAGAGCCCAATATAACATTTCCCCATGAATTTCTGCATTAAAAGGAATTGGACAGTTCGAATTCCTGACCTGACAACATCAAGTAACATTCAATTAAAAAATTCTGACTGACACTCACACCCCACATACCCTTTCATAATATGTTCTTGCATGTCTGTTCCTGGAGCAGCTACAACATCGGATCCCTGGTGCTCACCACAGCCACTGTTACTGACTACTCGAGCATCTCAAACAAACATAAGTCGCTACTCAAGCTCACATAACGTGCTTGAGTTCTCCTCTTCCCTTTAATGCAATTAAACACTCACAGACACAAGTTCTAATCTTACCTGCTCACAGTTCATCAGGGCACAGTTCTGCCCCGGGAACCAGGGAGAAGCATTCTCTCTCTCTGAGGTTTGCTGAAAGAAAAGTAAAAGTTAATCTCAATCTCCATTTTGTCCAGTTTCAAAGATGAATTCTACAATAAAGCAGAAGTCAGTGCTTTGTGGCTAACCATGTTCTCAACATTTACAAACAGAATGGAGAAAGATTTACTAAAAAATACTACCTTCAGTTCACTTCCTTTAAGAGCATTTTCTCCAATAATACAGGAAATATGCTGCTTATATAAGAATCCTAAAACATTTTTATCACAGAAAGTCATAATTTTAACTATTAGTTAAGTGAACATTTTAACTATTACTATCTAAAGAAAAATGTGACATTAATTTCCAGTTGGTGGAATAGAGTAAGAATACAGTAGTCATTCCCTCAGCCTCTGTCAAAATATATTAAAATAACATGTACATAAGCAGATAACTAAACTCAGTGAAACTGAGAACTACATGCAACAGTTAATTATACAGCTAAAACCATATGACTTGTACACAGGTTCCATTCAAGCTATAACAAGTAGAACTATCCCTTGGAATTTATCACACTACTTTTTGAGGCAAATATTCCAACCCAGGGAAGTCTTGGTGCTTACCATTGTTTTAATTGAACCAAATGAGGTAATAGCCTGGCGAAGGTAAGAGGTGTCAGCCTCAAAATTCAGGATGGAAGACTCTTCTGGTTTAAGTGTTAGACCTTCCAGTCTGAAAGAGTAAGACAACAGTTACAGAAAGGAAAAAAATTACAATTTTCTTCTTCTGTCCTGTTTTGGAAGTCACTCATTATTTCATACAAAGGCTTCCTAGCTGACTTGGCACTAATTAGGTAAAAAAAAAAAAATTAATACTTTCATAAAAGAAAGAGATGCCTATCCACAAACCACAGAACAGATTAAATAGCCAGCAAAACACAAGTTTCCTCTCCTTACTTCAGTTGCCATCATCAACTAATATTTGAAATAATCTGCACAAATGAGTACCTCCCTGCTTGTTATAGTCCTGTTTTTCAATCTAAGATTAAAAAAAAAAAAAAAAAGTGAAAGGAATCATCTCAGATTGCTTCAAATATCTTATTTCTAGGAACCATTAAAAATGTAGTAATAGTGAGTGAGAGCTATTATTAGTTCTATTAAAATAAAAAAATCAGACTAAATTCGTAAGTCAAATAAAACCAACTGTGTTGATAAAATACAAATAAAATATATTTACCTCTCCAGGCAAACTGAGATCTGGTTTGCTAGTTCATTGCTATAGGAGCGTTCCAGCTGATGAATAAGGCAATTGAACTGTCCCAAATACTGCATGGAAGACAAAACACATGTTACTGTTTCGGCTTCTAGGATTAGAATTGAGGAAATACTTGCAAGGATGAAGTTTGCTCAAAAATCCAGTGCAACATGTGACCACAAGGCACTTTCCAAGCCTTACCCAGTAGAGCTGCTGTGCCTGCTGCTGCAAGGCCTCCTCCTTGAGCTGCTGGATGAGATCCACCTGCTCGAAGAGCCAGACCTCGCGGCTGCGCAGGCATTCCAGGTGCCGGCTGATGTGGCTGTGGATCTTCGCTTTGACCTGCAAGGCAACACCCACCACTTCTACAACATCTGCCAAACAGGGTGAACAAACATGTGCTGTGCTGATGACAAAATGCTGTTTGTCACAGGCAGGTGACAAGTACTGCTGGAGCAACTTATTTCTCAAAAACTAACCACAGTCATCCACAGCACCACATAACTCATAAGGTTAGTAAAAGTTCCAAAGCTACCTTTAGAGAAGTAAAAAAGAACAGTGTTACTTGCAATATCTCTCTATTCTAATGTTTCAACCAACAGCTTTAGGAAATTCTGCATGCCTAAGCTTTTAATACAGGAATTTATCAACAGCATGACCTAATGACACAGCAACATGCTTGCAAGTCTCTAGGGAAATTTCAGATCATCAAGACAATAGTAAGTACTCTGGAATAGCAAACTGTCATTACAGTAATGTTAGTTATTAAAATATTTTTTAAAAATAATTTAAAATTACCTCCCGCCAGTTCTCCTTAATCTGCTGTTCAGCTTTGACAATTCCAGATATAGCTGCTTCCAAGTCCTTCTTTGCTTGAAAGCACTTTGCCAGAGTCTCACTGCTGCAGGAATTTCTATTTCTATCTTGTGGTGGACTCATTCTTGAAGTGTTCCTAAAACACAGTGGAAAAACAATGTCTTAATAGTTTCTATTCCTCTTTTAACGGAAGAGGAAGGGCATCATATGAAGAGCCATCTGCTCTACTTCACTATAAAGGTGAACAAAAAAACCCCAAGACCGTGTATGGATGGAAGTTTTCCAGACACAGAAAAAGCTTTCTTGAGGAGCGACAATGGCCTCTCTGACACCTCGGCCCATGGAATTTGCACAACTGCAGGAAAACCCACAGATATTTAACAACAGCTTCAACCACAGGAGCTTAGGCAATCCTCCCCTGCCAGTCACCTTGCTCTGGCTTTTCTGTCCTGCCAGCAAAACTCCAGAGCTGAGGGGCTGATTCAGGGAGGGTTCCACAGCAATGCCAGAGCTGGGGGAGAATGGCCCAGCCAGGGGCAGGAAATGTTTCAGTCACCCCTTTTTCAACTGCAGGCAAATGAACTGGCTCCCACAAATCAGAAAATTCCAATACAACTCCATTAACTGAACACGCAAATACTGCTCCACAGATCACTCTTTACTAAGCTGCAAAGGCCAAAATTTAGAGCAGCTCCCCATTATTTTTGTCCTGGTCTCACAGCAGCAGTAACTTACTTCAAGTTACTGTAGCTTCAGCACAGCCTCAAGTAAAAGGGGCTCAGACACAAAATTTCTGCAGAAGTCAGACTGGTAAGGATTCTGCAAGTAAAGAGGAAAAGATAGTATGGGTTTTTAGTAAAAATGGGAAGAATCATTATAAGCATTTTTTCTAAACGGTGGGTATTTCATTACTGAAGAGTTTCAACTCTCCTCAATCCCAACCATGGGATTCCTGAAGCACTAATGAAACATTCACAGTGAAGGTTCTATTTAAAACAAGTCCTCAGCAATGACAGCTATGGAAACTCCCAGCAGAACTAACTGAAGCGTACACATGCCCATCTAAAATGTCACAGATTTTACCGCTCCTCTGGAGGGAACTGAAAAGAGTGTTTTGAATATGATAAGACGACCACGGAGCTTGTGTTACTGAGCAGCTACTTCGTCTGCACTTTCCAAGTCCCACTGCAACCCAAAAATCCTTCTACAGCCAAGACCCACCAGACAGACGTGTGTTTCAGAGAGCAGAGGGCTGGGAGTGGCTTGCACATGGAAGCTGACAGAAAAAGCAAGGTTTGCTGTGGGGCGGGAGCAGAGGCTGCATCTCCCTTGGTTCCCTCAACACAATGGGCTTCTTGTTTCTTGTGCCCCCAGACATGAGACATGGAGCAGGCACAGGAGCTACCCAAAGACCCTGCACACAACTCAGTCCCATCCTCACCATAACATCTCATCTTCTAGGAAGTGCAGAGCACAACTACAGGTGAAGTGAACTTGAATGTATTTTTTAAGCTTATGTTATTCTACACCAAATTAGACAGGGTACAGAAATCAAAAATACATCATTCCCCATGCTGCACTATAAATTTTGGGGTTGTCCCTGTATTTGCACATTCAGAGGTGCAATACACAATTCTGTAAGGTCTCAAGATCTTCACCATGCTAGCAATGTTCAGTAAAAGGTAATCTTTCTCCTCGCAACTGTCCTTAGACTTTATCTTGCTTGTCAACTCTCATGTACAACCTACAGGGAAATGTAACTGGGAGCCCTAGTTCTCAGATGTAATCTAACAAATGTTAATGCAAAAGCAGCGATACACCCAGCCAAGAAAACAAGGGCATTTGATACATTAAAAGCTATCCTATACTCACAAGTAAACAACAAAAAAAATCATACTGTTTATTATTTCATTTATTATATTCTTACATAACAACCCAGTCAAAGTCTGAAAGGCTAAATATAACTGCCATATTTGCTCACATGGCAGATAATGGACTTACAACGTCTGTGAAAATTATTTTAAGCTCTGTACGTACAAATACCAAGCCCAAAGAATGCTGTGTTACCATTTATGTGTTTTCTGAATTTATATGAGGGAACTGGGCTCAGTGCCTGAAGAAATGCTACTTTTTCATACTCTGCATTAGCAACTTCATACTGGTACAGTCAAAATTAAGAAGCTTATACATGCTTCTCTAATGATTTCTGAAACTACTGTTTACTGCTTTTCTGTTTTTTCATTTGATTGCACGAGACTCTCTCCAAAATGTGTACAGAGAGAATGAATGCTGCCTTCCTCCAGCCAGCCAACTCCTCTTAAAATGGCTGTTCTCATGCTTTGTCAAAAATTAGGCAGTAAAACTCACATGACAGTTGAGGATTAGAGCCAATCCACCCTTCTTTTCAATTCCGACAAGCCTCTAACAAAACTAAGTGAGGGTAACCACCTATTTCCTCGTTTTCCAGTTACCCCCCAGCAGCACTGGGAGTTAAAGCCGTTTTCAGTTCCCATGCTCTGACACTACCGGGATCATACACTTCAGCTCAACAGTAACAAAATACAATTACTTCTGCAAGAGGACACGTGGCTGCAACACAGTCACCTTTTTTGGCCATTTCCGTACCATCTGTTTCCAGGCACACAGGGGTCCCCTCCAGGGGTACGTGACTCACGGGATGCACACCCCCCACCAGCTGAGCTCGCACTTACTTTCCGAGCTCAGGAAGCAATCCCTCAGCGTCCTGTTTCTCACGCCGCTCCCATTCCCAGCCTCCCGCTCCGCAGAGGCACGGCCTCGGGAATGCTCTCGGGCGGTCACGCGCGACTGCTCCCGCTGCAGATTCCGCCCCAGAGCCCCGCTCGCTCCAGAGCCCCGCTCGCTGGAGCGGACGGGCCCCGCCCCGGCCCCGAGCCCTTATCGGGGCGGCCCAGCCCGCGCCCCGCCCCGCCCCGGGCACCGCGCCCGCCCGAGCCGCACGTCGGCAGCGCCGGGAGGGACCGGGCCGGACCCAACACCGGCCCCGCTCCGCTCATCCACAACACCGAGGGCCTCCGAGCGTCCCACCGGCAGCTCAAACCGCGAAACCACGACGTTTTGCAACAAACCCGCTGTTTGTCGCAAGTTCGGGAGTGTGGCAATGTGACTTCTCCACACAAGAAACGCAACAAAGCAAACCCAGCGCGTCTTTCTGCTGCAGCCCCCAAGGCTCAAGGGCTGCTGGCTGCACAGTTCAACCTCCCGTCCGCCCCTGGCCATGCACAGCCCAGCAGCGAGGCTCCCCATCCAGCACTGCGCCTGGGACTGCCAGAAACCAGGACAATAGATCGCTCGGGTGCAGTCAGCTCCTGGAAGGACCAAAATGACACTCTCACACACACAATTATTGTCACATCTACTCTTGCATCCACAATTCCACACATAGCCGAGGAAAGCACACAGAACGGCCTGGGTTGGAAAGGGCCTTGCAGTTCCAACTCCTCTGCCAAGGGCACGGACACTTCTCACTGGACCAGACTGCTCAGAGCCCCATCCAGCCTGGCCTTGAACACTCTCAGGGATGGGCCACGTACATGTACTTGCCGGTACATAATCAGTCAAAATATTACAGCCATGAAACCAAAAATAGTGCCTGAACGAGGCAGGAAGGTGATATTATTGTTCCTAATCATAAAATAACTACCAGTTCTTGCAGGAAGATTTTTGGTTTGCTAGAGTTGTCACCACGAAGACCGTGCAGCCAAATCCTCGTCACAGTATTACTTCTCCTGGTACTCTGTGCTACCTCCCTGGCTGATTGCCCTCCACCCCTGAGGTGTTACTTCCCGTATTTCTCTTTTATTTTATTTGTAGGTCAGAAAATGATGGACAAAAATATTTTTTTTTTTAGCTTTTAATTAAGTATCTGGTGGCTGGGGAGCAGAGGAGGACGGGACAATCCTGCCTCGACTGCACAGGCTGCAAACAGGCCAGCAGGAAACTGGTTTTACCAGCTTTTCACTTTCAGCACAACCATCCCCGCTGCCCTTGGGAAGAGCATTGTTTTCCACTGCAAATGAGTGTGGAATCACCTCAAAAAGAGAGGAACTGGGGAAAAACTTCTGAAGGGAATGAATCCTCACATCAAACAGGCTCTGTTTATAAATGTGGAATGATTTCTTCCAGTCAGCTGGACAAGGCTGCTCCAAAGCCCTGTCTGACCTGACTTCATGTGGTTTTAAACCCACTGGCTTGTTTGAACTGAAATCCCCACGGATTTCACTCTTACCCCACCAAAAAACAGTAGTTCCTTTTAAGTAACTGTCCCAAATTAGGTACGTGGGAGTTGTGGTCAGGGAGAGAAGTGCTGTAAGTACACGAGCTGACTCTCAGAAATTTCCATTTAGATCCAAGCACAACAAGCATTTTGTACAGTACAGCATCAGCATCACGCGTCAGGATCTGTGTGGAGCTCCTGCTGGGGGGATTATTTTCCTCCAAAACAAGTATGTACCACCCTACTGTATAAGTTACAAGCCACATGAAGGAAAAAAATGACCTCTGGCAGTTCTGAGTAAGAGAGAAAGTGAAATTAACAGCTTAAGGAATAGTAATAAAAGTTTCAGGTAATACATTCTCTAAAATTCAGTTAGTTTTTACCTGCCTGCACAGTGTATGATCTGCATCACAGACCTGAACACCTTTCAGCCTGTTTTAGCCCCAGAAGAGCACAGTCATTGCACAAAGCACTTGCACAGACACCCTCACAAGAGTTGGGCTCTGTAGAGTTACAAGTCACCAGTGCAGCTGAGACAAGAAGTCTGGTCACCATTTAATTCCATCTATTGTTAATATATGTTTCATGCACAGCACACAAGTGAAATCACAAAGTATCTGAAAACGAAGGCTTGAAATCTCTATGCTGTAATTACTGACAATACCAAAGTATATGTCCCAGAGTGGGAAAGACGAACTGTTATCTTAACAGAGATTGCACATTTCAACACAACCGTCTTCCAGGCTTTTGCATTTAAAACCCTTTGGAAAACAAGTGACAAATCCCTGGCTCTGCCTGAGGCATATGGCCTCAGAGATAGCACTGCCACGCTCTCTGCACATCCATCCCTCCAACGCTGTGCATTTGCGGCGGTTTTCACACGACTGCCAGGGAAAAACCCTGCCGTGACTGCACACCTTACCCAAACCCCCGAGGAGAGCAACCTGGTTGCTCTCTCAGCTTTTCCCGTTAATGTCACCCACGAACACCGAGTTTAAAGCCGAAAGAATGCACAGCAGCCCCTCTGGGAGCTGTGGCCCACACCAGTTACCAGGCACCGAACAACACGGGTCTGACGAACTTCCAGCGCCGGCGCGGGACAACCCCACATTCGGGACACTGCTGCTTATGTAACCTCCGGGGAGCGCGGCCGCTCACAAAAGATTTTGGCTTCGCGGTGAAAGAAGCGGCCTCAGAAGCGCCTGCAGCACACCCTCTCGGGGGCACGAAGGGAAAGCGAGACCAGCACAAAACCCCCGCGTCTTTCGTGTTCCACGTCCGCCCTCCGCCCATTTCCCGACCGACCGGCCCGCGCCAGGCCGGTCCGACCGCGCGCTTCCCGCTGCGCGGCACGGGATCCCGCACGGGATTCCCCACTGGATCCCTCCCGGCATTCCCCTCGGGATTCCCGGCGGGATCCCGCACGGACCCCCCCGCCCCGCTCCCCCGTCCGCCCCTCACCGCGGCCCGCGCGCCGCTCCCTCACCAGCGCCGTCCGCCCTCCGCCGGCACGCGACACCGCCGCGCACTCTCGCGAGAGCGCCCTCCCCTTGAGCGCCAGCGCCCCCTGCCGGCCCGGCGGAGCGGCGGCGGGGCAGCGGGGAGAGGGGCTGCTCCGCACGGACACCGGGAACGGCATCCAAAGCACCGGGAATGGCATCCGACCCGGCACGGCGGGTCCCCCAAGGACAGAATGGGTCTGGGTGGCCTGGGTCTTTCTCGTGGGCGCTGGGAAATGCCCAGGGTGCGCGGCTTGGTTTGGCCTCACACAGCACGGTTCTTGGGTTTGCCTTTCCCTCCCAGTGTGAAGCACAGCAGGACTCTTCCCAGTACTGCCAGCTGGGAAAAGCACCCAGTTACTGCCCGGGCAGGGAGCACTGGTGCTGCCCGTGCCCCAGAGCGCGATCGCCAAGCGCTGCCTTGTGCGGTGTTTGCACAGCGCTGGGAGCCCGACAGACAGGCTTCAAAAGGAAAGCGCTTCAGCCAGAAAGGGCTTCAGATGGAAATCTCAGTGTCTGTGCAGCTCTGAGTGCATGTGGTACCCGAGTCACCATTTCCCACACATTTCCTCCCCTGGGCACGGACCAAGGAGCCCGTTCTTTTGAACAGGACCTTACCCGGGGTTACCAGTACAAGTAATTTAGTGCTGACCTAAGAGAAAGTAGAAGTCAGACGCCCAGACCCAAATGTGCTGTTAACCCTAGGAACCTCTGTTTCAGGTATTTGCCTTCCTTCCCTAAACACGAAGGAGACACAGGACGTGTTATATAATCCTCCTCTGTGTATTTGGATTTGAGAGGAAAAATAATACCAACCTTGCCTGACCTTGGAAAACCAGCAGTGCTCGTACACCTGTTGTGTACACCATCCAGTTACACAGCGAGACTGGCCCGAGGACAGAGAGCAGCCTCTCCTGGGTAGGCAGGCAGAGCGGACAAAGAGGTTTGCTGGCATGCCTTCCATGGGCTTCACCAAGGCCATCCCATAATCCAGGTGGTTTGAGTGCTTTCTGTGGAACCACTCCACAGCTAGTACACTCCACATGGTACACTCTGTGTGGATTCATTGTGGTTAAGGTTATACCTTCCTAGGAGGATTTACCTGTTGGATACATCTTCCATCTTGCCCTTAAAGGATGTCAAGGAACCATATGCACATTTTAATGGTCTCTTTCCACCCACCATTGATGGGAGTACATGCTGTTCCTCCCTCAGCCATATCCTGTGCCATGCCAGATGCGCCTTTTTACCCAAAGCTGCATAGCATAATCATCATAAAAAGAAATTTTAAATTATATTAGCCTGAGCAAAGGACAAATTGGTGGCATGTTAAAATAGGGGCAAAGGGTTGGGTAAGAGTTGCAGTTTTATGGGAAAATAAACAAGATGATCTGCTTGTGTTAAACAGCAGTGAAGATGGAGATGTACTGGGCAGTTCCTCAGCTCTGT